ATTTTTAACAAATTGAACTTATTTAATTGTATTTATTGATCAGCATGTTATACATATTATATATATTTTACATTTTTTATTTTAGCCTGGTTCAATAATTAATAAAATATTTTTTAGTATTATTATTTAAGGATACTCAAAACTGTTCTCATAATTTTACTTAACTACTTCGCTTTTTAGAAGGCAACCCAACGGTTGGCATGTTTCTATTTAATAAACAGAAAGAGAACATGATTTTAATATTACAATTTATGTGATACTCTTATAGTTGCTAAACATTTGTTACTTATATCTATAAATAAAAACTTTTTTCGTCAATACTGCTTGACATCAGGCTGTACAAACCTGAAATTTCTTACTAAAATTCTACAGCTGCAATTACAAAAAAGTAATACTAAAATAATTATTATTGGAAATTCTTCAGTGAAAATTTATTCATTATTACTATTATAACATTTAATTTAATGTAGAAAATAGTATAAGAGAAATTTATTTTAATTATAAGGTTTAATATTATACATAAGTTTTAAGAAATTAAACAAGTAATAATTAAATATATCAAACTCGTAAAAAAAATTCTTTAAACATTTATTTTAATTGAAATTGTATGGCCTAAACGAATCTTTTTGTTACTCTTTTGAAATAATAATTATTAGAAAGACTTTTTTAGGAATGTATGCAATTTATTAATATATTAGTACTTTTTTTTAATAAAGAAAGACCTTTCATAATAGACCAATTTGGAAAATTTTAAAATCAGTTTAACAAAAAGTCTTAAAAACATTGAGCAATTGTGTCATTATTTTTGACTGTGGTCCTAGAAATGTAATTTACGGTTACTAATCCAGTTAATTAATAATTAACCACAAAAACCTAAAATTAGTCACAAATTTACCAAAGCTCTAAGTTATATTTAAAAGCTCATAATTTACAAACAACTTGAGATAATTTTTTTCAGGACAGTTACTGTCAATACTATCACCCAGTTTTGGTTTGGCGTTGAGTTCTGGGACACACTGTTATTTATTTTATATACACCTTTGTATTAATAAATATATAACTAATATTTGCACTAAATCTAATATTTATAGCAGTAAAAAAATTAATAAAAAATGAACAATATAATTCTGTCTCATAAATACAAATATTAATCCTTCTTGTGTTTATTATTGCAACAAGTAACAAGATAAGTATATTTTCCAATGCCGGCTTTGGAAATGAAATAATACAGATTAATTTTAAGTAGCTTATAATCTCACATGTTTCTCAAAGTGTACATTTAAATTTATAACAGGATTAAATAGTATATTAGCATTAAGTATGCTAAGTACTTTACTATTTATAGAACGTTTGTAAATTATTAATGTATAGAGCCTGGATTATCTGATACATTAAGAGATTATGTATTTTGGGAAATGGAATGAAAATAATAAATAATAATACATATTTAATAAATCTTATGTAGAATAATTTAATAAAAAATATAAAGTGTGATGAATTCATACGTAATAAAATAACCTTGTAAATGAAACCATTTTTGCTACAAATCAATATTCTATTAATTCTGTTATTGTCTAGCATTTGCCTAATAAGTAGGTACTGGTATACATGAAAATAATATATTATATCATAGTATAAAAATTCTCGTCTTTTAATATTATAAAATTTATTCCAAAATCTGTATTTTCTCGTCGAAGGATTTCAAATCTATTCCTTATCAGCAAAAGGATTCGCAAGAGTAATCCTTTTATCTGAAGAATAGACAAGAGGCCTAGTGTAGGCAATTCAAGTGTTATCTACGTCTAAGAACATCCTAAAAGGATACCTATACACTCCTTAAAATACGAACCTTTTTGTAAATCGTTCATGTTTTATGTAGATTTTGCAAAAAAATATTCAAAAGCCCGGTGAAAAAATATTGGATGCATAGGTGGATCGTTTATATTATAAATAATGAATATATGCATTTTTCAAATAAGATTTTTGTTAAAGAGAAACATTATTTTTCTTGAGTATCAGTACTTTCTTATCAACAATATTTGATTTGACAAAATGATTATAAAATTTTTCTAGACTATAGTGCACATATTTTT